AGCGCCCCCCCCCCCCACTCACACCAATTACAGCCAAGCTAAACATACATGGCAACCTTGTACTATGTCATGCTTCTCCTTCTCATGACCAGTCACAGGTTTGAGGTAGCATAGAATGCTTTTTTATTATGCATACAATTCCTAGACCAGCAATGCTGTCTGAGGTCCTCTGTGTGTAGGATGATATAAAGCAGAGATTGTAACTCTTTCTTTATAGACTCAATAAAGACCTAGTAAGTAATGACCAGTGCCACTTGTGAGTGTGATTTGTGGGGAGTATGTAGAACCAATCACATTAGCTTACAGTGCACACCCACAAATGTCCTCTAGTGCTAGTTTCATTAAAAGGCGCTTAGCCTACCAGGAGCACATAGAGAAAACTCACATAAGCCTCCATGCACACAGTGCCACTTGTGAGAACTGAACCCAGGACAAAAACACTGCAGGGCTAATGTGCTCAATGCTTTGCCTCAATGTTGTATCTTGCTCTGACTTCACTTGTCTATAATGTGGAACAGATACCGAGACCCGCGAAGGAGTGAGGTTTATGTTTCCTGACCCTCCAAAGGATGACCAATCCCTGGAGATCCAGCAGCAAGCCTTGCTTCGAGAGCAGCAGAGGAACCTGAACAGAATGAAAAGGAGACCAGGGATACCTGATGGTGAGGAGAGTCCACACAGGGGCAGAGCTTCCAACTACCCCTGAATTCAACTAAAGCCAAAACATTTTTCTACATTTTGGACAGAGAAGGGGAACATTAAAAACCGTTTTCAGTTTAGTTTTTTTCCAATTGATGTCTCATTTTCTTTCACTTCCTATCCTGTAGACTCATCAGAAAGTGAGAGGATATCTTTACAGTTGTCACGGGAACAAGTGTTCTAATTGGAAGATTTCCACTCTATTCCTGTCCTGGTGACAACTCAAAATGTTGGATTTCAGTCCCTGTGACATTTGTGATCAGGACAATTAGAGAGAGTGAATCCTCATAACGACACCGGTGTCAAAAAATCTGACTGGGGTTCTAATCCGTTACTACTCTATTCAAATCTAAAAAAAATGCCTTTAGTTATATGAATCATCACTACGAGGTGCAGTAGGTGATTTGACCAGCAGCCTAATTTGTTTTTCTGGCTTTTTATTACAGCTTTGGAGCCGTTTCCTGCATACAGTCTTCATCACACTGAAGCGGTAAGGAGCTGCCGAAAATGATGATTGGTTATTATACGATACTATAATATTCCTGACTTTACTCTGCCTCTGATAACGCAAGTATAGTGCAGCATGACATTCTCCAATCATGTTTAGTAGGGATACACCGATTGGTTATCGGTGCCGATACCGAGTATTTGGGCGAGTACTCGAAGCGTGTCACGGCTTCCTGATCCCTCGTCACTTGTGAGTGACGCGGGAGTGTAATGATGCACTGCCCGGCATCCTGATTGGTCGGGAAGCTGGCCAATCAGGAAGCCGGGCGATGTGTAATGACGTAGCGCCCGGTTTTTTGATTGGCCGGGAAGCCGGCTTCATGCTCCCTCGTCACCTCATGACGAGGGAGCATGGAGCCGGCTTCCTGGCCGATCAGGAAGCCAGGCGCCGCGTCATTTCACGGCGCCCGGCTTCCATGATTGGCCAGCAAGCCGGCTTCATGCTTTCTCGTCGCATAGTGACGAGAAGCATGGGTACGGCTTCCTTGCTAACGGGGAAGCCGGGTAGCGAGTCTTTACACGCCGCCTGACTTCCTGAATGGGACTTCCGGTACTCGGTATTCGGTATTGGAGAGCACCGAAAAAAAATATTGGTACTCTGTACCGAAATACCGGTATCGGTGCATCCCTAATGTTTAGTCACTAGCTGCTTTGGACCTACCATAGATAGGAGTGTAACAGATTAACTCATTTTTTGTTTTTTTTCCACCATTACAGCTTAAAGATCCGACAAAAGACCTCCTGAAAACGTCATTGCTGGAGTCAGAGAGTGCTTTTATAGGTAACGTCACACCGTGTCTTATTCAGTCTATCAGGTTATCTATACACTGAGCAATGCAGCAATGTGTGATTCTAAATGCAGCTGCCCCTCCCCCATTATTGGAGAATTGCCGTTTCCACTGTGCAGGCTTGTTTCTGGTGCCAAAATACCTCCAGCTAAAAAAGTTAGGAGCCAGTTTTTTTGTTTAAAAGTTTAAAAGCTTTATTTTCAACGACAGTTTTCAGTTACAGTTTTAATTGGCACACGCGGCGATACCTGACGCGTAACACAATCTTCGTATTCGTACGCAGGTGCACATAACTTATGTTTCCGTTAGTAAGTGAGCGTTCACATGGGAGGGGACTTTACATTTTCTTTTTTGGTATTTTTATTGTATTTAACTTCATTTTTTAAAACTTTTTTCCTAATTGCTATCACATGGGAGAGGGGGGCCTCACAAGCCCCCTATGTGATAGCACATTGGAGATGACAGGTTCTTTTTAAGGTGTCTATTTTTAAGGGGTCTATTAGATCTCTAGTGTCACCTTTCCACTTCAGTAGCTTTAGTTGGGGAATGACAGCTGCCTGTTGAGGCACCTGAATGTAAACATACCAGGCAGTGGCTCGGAGCAATAGCCAGCCTGCTATTGGATATTGAAAATTGCAATAGCCAATAGCAGGCTGGCTATTGCACCCGCCCACTGCCTGCTGTCAATCAGCAAAGGAGGGAACTGAAGGAGAAAGTTCTCCTTCAGGTCCTCATCTGCTGATTGACAGACGGCAGCGCAATAGCTAGGTTGTGTTTTTTCCTATAATGCTCTGAAAAAAATAATGGATGTCAGAGAAAGTTAATAGCTGTGAGAGGCAGGCGGACAACAGAAAAGATCAGGAGGAGAGGGGATTCATGAATGATTGAAGTCATTCAGACAGGGAAATGAAGGTGGGCTCAGGATAACTGTTCCCAGAGTTATATGTGGAGACGTACTTTTGCAGGGAATTGAGAGTATTCCGTTCCAGCACAGGAGAGGACTTACTACAAGTGTGGGGGAAGGCGGGAGTTCACCTTTAAATACATGTTTCTGATTTTTTTTAAAGGTGAGAATGGAGAGCCATATGCTGCCTACACTGATCCATTCTCTGCAGCCAGGGAGCGAAGACGACACAAGCAGCTCACCATGGACTTAGATGTATGATGAGATTCCTTGTATCTAGTGGTGGAAATGTTTCTTCTTTTCTCAGTTGGGGTTCATTATGGTTTTGGGGGTTATAAACAATGATATCTCTGTCCGCAGAATGACATCCCTCCTGTGCCACCACTCCGCCTAACCCAGCCAGACACCCTCTCTGTCAACTCTGCCTCCAGCTTTAATGTTGAAGAACTGCAGATCAGGAATGAGGAGCGTCTGAGAAGGCTGAGTAATCTTCGGAAAAGCACCGTGAGCATAGGTGAGCATTGTGTATGAAAAGGCAGGCCTGGTTTTGTTGCCTATAGTAGCTCCACATTGCACATATAGAATAAAAGTAAACATCTATTGGCTCATCCTTTAGACACGGAACCTCTCACTTGCCCAAGTTTCTGAGTCATTTTCCATTCAGAAGCAATGAATGTATTAATGTATACACCTAAACCGAGAATGAGACAGATTGCTCAGTTTCCTGAATAGCAAACAGCAGAGGCCAGTATAGCCCATTGAGACAAATAGCTGCGTATGTGCGCTTGGTGTAACTTTCTCTTCACTGCACTGTGCTAAAATGAACAGGAAAATGGTGGTTTTGGGGACAGTGTGGAAAACGCCACCCAGGACAAGATGTGACAGATCGGGGTCAGACGTTATATTCCTGACACAAAGGGGCTTAGTTATAAAAGAGAGAGGACACAGCTATCTGCGCTCTGTTAAGCCTCGCCGTGTGCTCCGCACACCATATCTGCATTTGGTGCTTTATTTATAAAATGTAGAGAGTGTTGTGGAGCCTGCGGTGTCTCATAGAGTATTCCGCAGAATGCTGCAGAGAACATTCTGTGCTTGGAAGAGAGGCTGGTCACATGACTTTGACAGGTCATGTGAATGGGTTCCCCTCCTTTCAGCACTCCCCCGCCCATCCATTGAAATGAATAGGGATTTGGAGGACTAAACACGCGCTGTGCTTTATCAATGAAACGGTTTTGTCTCTTACAAGCTGCTTTATTAATGGGCCTCAAAGTTTCCTTTTATCTTGTACTTGTGCTGTAGTGCACTCTCTAAGTGTGCACATGTTTCCTTGGCTCACATCTTCACAGAGTTAATCTTGTACTGTAATTGTACTAAAGGACATGTGAGAGGAGCGGCAGAGCTATCATATGCGTTCTTAAATACTAATTTATATTTCTTACATTTCAAGATGGAGATCCCGATGGCTTTGGAAATGCAGATGACATCCTTAAAGGCTACACTACAAAGTTTAGTGGCAGACCGCAGTCTGTGGACACCGTAGCGACAGAGCCTTGGATGCGCCCCGGCACATCGGAGACACTTAAGAGGTTTATGGCTGGCCAGATGAACCAGGAGACATCAACCAATGAAAATGCCTTAACCTTCAACTGGCAGGGCTTGTCTACTGCTCACGGGTGAACATCAGCAGTGTAAGTCTGCTGTACTGGGCGGTGATCTGTGACAACCTTTACGCCTTCTATGCTAGTCTCTTTTTTTTAAGGCCAGTGAAAATGATGCACAATATTTCCTCTGCGATTTCTCAGATCCAGTCCTTAGCACAGCCCTGCGTGTGCCTTTTATAGGACTAATGTTCATCACTGAAGCACTTTCCTCCTTATTTTGTTGCTGATGAATGTTACAATAATAATTTAATTTCATATTTTTGTGAAGAAAACTTTAGAGGGAAAACAGTAGACAATGAACCTTCTTGTGTTCTATTCCTTCTGACGCTGCTACACAGCATATGTACTTTGCTGTATTCCACCATTAACTGAAACTTAGTCTGACTTTGTTGAGCTGGACCCAGGAAAACAGCGAAATACAGGGAGGGGGCTCACACAGCAAAGTCATTGGAATGAAATCAATGGAAAATCCAACTGCTGTTGCTAGTTAAGTGAGAGAGATGACATTCCAGGGCTGAGATCCTAAGGACATTGCCAGGCATGCTATATACACAGTATGCATCACACTTCCTGTACTTGCACTGACACATGGGACAGGAAGTGAGACAATTGCAGTAGCAAGGTGAGGATTCTGGGAAGTCTTGTCCAGTTGCAAGGTTGAGAAACGTTGAATGTGATGGCTGTTAGAGAGAATCGGAAGATAATTGGTAGTAAATGGCTCATGTAGCAGGAACCCGCCATGTCCACCAGAGTGTAAACACTACTGATAGAATTCATTCAGCTCCTTTGTGTTGGGAGAGTAGCTGGATGTTCTTCTCTGAAGGTACACAGGAGTTCCTCACAAGCTGAGATTAAGCCACGTGGCCCATTGCATTGCATTACACCCCACTCCTTGTCATTCAATTGACAGAGGTTCTAACCCTTCCAATCACTGGTCTAAGCTACAAATACAGCTGAAGTTTGATTATTATAGTAAAAGTTTGTAGTATTGGTGTCATACATTTGGCTATAGACCGTGCTAAATCTACAATATAACATGAGGCGTGCAGTGCTAACAAAGGTATAAATATAATGTGTCTATTATACATTATAAAGGTCTCCAGATTTCCAGCCTCACATTCATGAAAATGAAAGTATTACGTTACCTTTCTTTGGGGAAAAACATATTTAGAACCACAAGGAACAAGTCCCCAGATATATATAATATATTGCACCACCAAGCTATGACGCAATGCTAACTTCTATCATTCATTTAAACACCTCAATAAAAAAACCTGATATGTACCATCGCCAGCCTCTCCATCACTGGTGGCGGTATCCGCAGTCACGTAACGAGACCACCAAAACCAGCCATTTTATATCATTATCACAAAGCGCTAGACAATCTCCGTCCAATCAAAGATGCTTCTTATGGACACCTACTGCTTCCAGATAAGTACCATGATTGTCCGTCCCGATGGCATGAAATCATGTACCAGATACCCACCAACAGCTGCACTCGGCACCATTCCAGACTTGCAGCAGTGTCAGCACTCCATGTTATCCACAGGGCTTCCATGACTTCTTAAATCCTTCACAGTCAGGTATATTTATAAGTGGCGGGCTATCTGGGGATGTTTTGTGGTTATTGATGTTGTCAGTGATTTATGTTTGTTCAGCCTCGCAGGCTGAATAGCATGGAAGGGGTAACCAGAATTTCCCCCCCCCCAAAAAGCGTGGATAGGGGAATCCCCCATGCTGGGCTGTCCTATCCTGACAGTGGTGGGCATGCTCCTGATAGAATACCCGGACAGTGACTACACCCAATACTGCAATCACTGGATGAGAATTTTCAGACCGACTCCTTCAACAAAAGTCCATTGACTTTTAAGCAGAGGGGCACCAATGGGACCACACGCTGCTTGAGTCAGCATTTCAGCACGCCAACTGTCTGACATGATCCATGTTCTATTCTAGATACACCATATGGGTGGCGTTCATAGAGCCGTATTCTAATGTCTACAATTTCAGGTCTTATATACTTGGATTTCCAAGGGACACAAAGCTCTAGAAATGATGTACACGTGTAGCAGCATGGACTGTTACTAGTTTACCTGTCTAGTGACTGGAGCCAGATGACTCCTGAGCTTCATAAGGAATTGATTAACCTGAAAACTGTTACGTAGCCCATTTGCCTTTCTGCACTGAATGTTTTATTTGTGTTTTGTAATGTTTTTGTTGACTGAAAGTATATTGTAATGAAGTATGTTTTCTAACTTAATAAAAGTATATTTTTCATGAAATGTTTGCTGCCTTTAAATGACGATTGCTACAATATTATAGCCCCTTCACACTGGTAGATTGCAGTAATGTGTAATAAAACGGGCACATTACCACAATGCGGGGAGCTATGTGCGATGGGTTGTGGTTCCCTTCATTTGGCAGCCAGCACACAGCAACACACACATGCGCACTATTTGTGCATTGTGGTGGTACATTTAGTGTGTTGAGGTGTACTGATAGCCCATTGAAAATGAAAGGATTGCCTTATGTAGCGTATCTCGACACAAAACAAGTTCTACCACTTGCCGTCCGCCTGTTGTAAAAAAACGGACGGACGGACGGCACTGCAGCATTTGCGGGTTGCCGTCTCCAGACGGCATTTTTTTTCTGCTCGCGCGGGCACACACGGGCAGAAAAGACCCGACCATTGCACACACCCGTTACCGGGTGTTTCACATATAGACGATCGGCGGCTCCATAGCCCGCCGATCGTCTATATGTGCTTGTTTTTCTCCTTTATTTTTGCAATAACAATAAGTGCAAAAAATATATATATAAATAAAAAAAAATAAAAGTAACATATAAAAAAGTAAAATAAAATAAAAGTCACTTCTATCTCTGGTTAACAGAAGTTGGTTTGGTTTGCTTTGCATACATATGTACACCACAGGACCTCAGCGCCCTGCCTCATCCTTAGATGCTCACCTACAACCTTCCTTGTGAAAATGTTTCAGGAGTTTTTCCTCCAACTTGTTCCCCGTTCCTATGCACACCATCTTGGATCCCAAGTTCTGAAGGACATTATTAGAATCTACACATTCCGTATTAAAATTCTCTATCTGTCACTGCCTCTCTTTAGGGACGTGTACCTGCGTGTCAGATTTAATTTTGCTTGTGGCCCCAACTCATCAGTTCAGGACCCTGACATTTGAATGTTCATCTGCACCTCAGGGGTTCCCCAAAGTGTTAGCCTAGTATTGGGCCTGTTGCGCTTTTATGGCATTCCCATTGCGAGACTGTTAGACAACCTCCTATTGAGGAAACAGTTGGTGCAGCCTTCTATTGATCGATTGTCCAGACGTTGCAGTGGTTCAGCATAGTGGGCCTGATGATAGCCTCCTTCTACACAAGTTCTATTCTATTTGTCCAGTAACACTCCAGCCCACTACATTCTCTAGCCAGGGGAGAAATCAGTCAGGTCCCTGGACAGATCAATTTGTTTAGCACCAATATTGTCCCTGGCTTGGTGGCTCAGAAAGCTTACTCTGGAATCTGGTGTTGTAGGTTATGGGGCATTTGTATTAAGTGTGCAAGATATATCGGATGTGGATGTGTCAACTATTTCTGGGATCCAATAAACACTTTACTCTCTGGAAAAGAAGGTTGCCTGGAAATTGCTTTGGTTTTTGCATTCTGCATATGCTTTTCCCACTATACTTCTGCAGAAAATCAGGGAATTCCTTCATTCCCATATTTTGAGAGCCTCAAAATGGATGTCAGCCTGTCCAGCCGGAGAGGAGCCCAGTGCCCCCTGCTGCTGTGCAGGATTTGAACGTCCTGCTGGAAGGTCATCAGATCCAGATTCAATTGGACAACACTGCTGCAGCATACAATTATCTGAACAATCGCGGCAAGACTTATCTCTTGGGCAGAACATCACACTTTTGCTTAGCCTAAGTGTAGGCAACGGGCAGGTGGACTTCCTAAGTCGGCAGCACCTAGACCAGGGGAGTGATCCCTACACTCAGAGGTGTTCCAGGTGAGGGATGCTGAATGAGGACCTCCTGGCTCGGTTTGTCTCTAGGTATGGGGATTCTCTAGCAGAAGCAGTGGATGCTCTACTGACGTTGTGGGATAGTTATACCTTGTTTCTTTTCCTCCCCTGAAACGTCTTCCTTGTCCGCTTTGCAGGATTGAGATAAAGGTCATTCTGGTGATCCTCATTACTCCAAATTACCCAGGCGGATGTGGTACACTGACCTGGTAAGACGCCTGGCAGACACTCCATGGCCTTTATCCCAAGTACAGGTTTTCAGTGCATGGCTGTTGAAGGCCAGGTTCTGAGGGACGGGGGCATCTATGGATTTGTGTTTCCTATGATGCCAACAGCTACGAAGGCTACTTCCTATAATTGAACATGGCAGGCATACTTTATCTGGTGTGAGTCTCAGGGCTTCCACCCTAGGAGTTTCTTCGTGGGACAGATTCTCTTTTTCTGGAGCTGGATCAGAGTTTAGCTCTCAGCATTTTTCAAGTTTTGTTTTCAGACCTTTCTACGGGGTAGCTCTTCTGTGGGTGTTGGATCTGGTTCTCTCTGCCCATTAATTATCACTGTGTGACACCTATTAGAGACATCCCTCTCTATACACTCACCAACAAGGTGATTTATTTTTTTGTAGCCATCAGCTCTATGGGAAGTGTCTGAACTGCCGGCCTTATCCTTTCTGGTTTTGCTTAGGAACAAGATGGTGTTGAGGCCCAGGACTTCCTTTCTGCCTAAGGTAGTTTCCCCTCAACTAGGACATTGATCTCCCATTCCTCTGCCCAGCGTCAGCTCTTCACCAAAAGAACATTTCCTTTAATTTTCTAGTCATGGTTCGGAGATAGTCTCTTTCTCAACCACTGCTTCTTCAGAATGATTGATTCTTTTTACATGCTGGATGGAACCGGTAAGGGGACCTTGGCATTTCTGTTCACCATCTTTAAGTTTTTTAGGCACACCATCATCTAAACTTATGGTCTTCAGGATCAGGTGCTACCCTTTTCTGTCCAGATGCACTTAACTAAATGTAGAAGTGCTTCTTGGGCTTATGCAGCCAGCAAAGCTAAACTTCAAATTCACAGCCATCTACTCCATGTGTTAAACCAATGGCTGGTCAATGGCAGCAATGGTTAGATTTATGTTAAAGATTTTGCGCAGTCAGACATGGTCAGCCAGAAATTGGTGCAAGGTGGGACCTAACAGGGGGAATAGAGTTCTTGAAAGGACCTCTAACTGCTTATTGGTAGGATCCTTAAAGACAGATGCATCCTCCACCATATTAGCAGCCG